CACGAAATTCTTCACGATTGTAACAGAAATGCGAAGAGATTCAACGTTCCTTTGCAGAATTTCATAGAATAGAACGGGCTGTGAATGAAATTGTCATAAATCGGGACATAAGAATTTCTTTTCTAATAGATAATAAAGCTGTCTTTATCTTTTGCAGCATCTAACTTTTTTAATATCGAAATTTTAAATTATTGTTAGAACAGTCATATCTTTGTACAAGAGTATAGTTAATTGATACTAACAATAAACAATAGCTCAAGAATAACGAAATCATTTGAGAAGAATAACAACATTCATCGAATTAAGACTGTCACCATCATCACTTTTTATTGTTAGAATTAGAGGAAAGTGGAGGTACTGCAAGCATCTAAGAAAAATTTATTGCCCTGGAATGATTTTCCAAATTTAAAGCGATATAAGTATGGAAATAGAAACTATAAACATTCTTCTATAATACTATTATGTGTCCTCATATCGAAACAGATTTTCATTCAATAAGATTGTATTTAACCAAAAAGAAAAAACGGAAAAGCGAAAAAATTTCTCGCGCGTCGGTAATTATGCACAAAATAAAAGTCATAAAAAAATAATAAATTGTGGAATTGACAAAGAAATCAGAAAATATATGCATTATATTGCAATATAAATATATATTAAATATATATTTTAAATATATATTGTATTAGGTGTTGGAATTAATTCGCGTTTTTTAATGAAAGAATGTTATTTATTTCACATGAGCATTAAAAAATACATTAATGAAAGTACTTCCCATCACTTGTAAAACGCTACGAATTAATTCCAACACCTAATATATATTAAGAAAAAATACAAAACTAATTTAATAATAATGCACATAGCACTTTGGCAAAATGAAATGACAAAATAAAATAGTAATGCCAAGAAGAAATGAAAAAATTAGTGCTAGTCATACAGTAAAGGGAAAATGGATAATTGTACGCATTTCAAAATGCTTACGCACAGTTGCTCGTCGCGACCTGACTCGATATGAATATGATTACTTCAACAATTCCTAACCAAACTTAATAAATAACAGCTCAAAAGATGCAACTGTGCGTAATAACTGCAACTTTAAACAAATTAAAAATATGGACTTATCACCTTATTTTCTGAATGTTAAAATAACAAGAAAAGATGTGATTTCACTTTTTTATATTCCTCTGGCTAGCAATGTATTTATGTAATATCTTTTGTAGTTATATCTTAAAAGAACGACCTCCTGTGTAAAAATTCACCATAGTGATGTCTTCTATTAGAAAAGTATTAAACCAGGATGCACACAATTAATCGCTGTGCATAATTCCCCGATTTTCCCCTAATAATAGTAAATTTTTGAAATTTTTACAAAATTGAAAACGTTTCTTTATATTCCCAAGTATGTTATTGTTACTTTTTACAAGTATTATAAAAATATCGTAATAAAATTATGTAATCGAAATTTTTCAAGCAACATAAAATCTAAAATTGTGACATAAGATGTCTTTAAGTTATCTTTTAGACGCAAAAAACTTATGATCCGATTTTTAATATTTTTTGTCATCTTGGTTTATACATTTCCACAATATTTTTTTTCACACACACACACATACACACACACACATATATATATATATAGAGCAATATTTTATTTTTTTGTCAGTTTCTTTTACTATACATTATATCACGCTCGATTTTTGTGACGTATGAAGAAGCACGTATATTTAATCAGTCGGGTAAAGTTTCAACAGAAATCCCGCGTCGTTAAACAGGGGACAAAGTAATTCCTCGAAACAGTTCCGTAAGAAAAGTATGCGAGAAATACTCAGGTATAAACGAAAGAATGATCACGAAGTGGAGAGCAAGACAAAAATGGATGATAACGAGAATATGTAAACGAGGAAAGCAAGTAGCTATACTTAAGTCCTATTGACTTTAAAAGCACATATGATCGCCCTTGCTCCATTTTACTACAAATTTGTATTGGTAAATATTGATAAAAATTATATCAAGTACCAAGCATGAAAATTGGATATTTAAATATTATATGATTACGTGTATTTCTATAAAATCGAATAAAAATAATGTGATAAATTGCGTTTGAAAATAAAACTTTTACATAGAGAAGCAAAATGGAAAATAAATAAATATTTGATTATTTTTCTATCGTTATTATGAATAACATAGAAGCTTAAGTTATATTTCATTTTTAATTAATTTATATTAATGTCCTTTTATAATGCAAAACTAAAACATATTAAAGATGACACAAGACTGTCACGAAAATTTTAGAATTATATCTAATACTTCATCTCGACCTTTACAGTAAGGGATCACTACTATTTTAACGATACTTTAACTTTCGATACTTCTACACTTCTAAAGGAAGAATTCGGCTTTTCAGGTATCGGAATTTTAGCTATTGTTCATGAGTTGTTGCATAGTCTGGATCGTATGTCCATGAGAATAGTTTTTCTGTGGTCTGTCGGTACTAAACAATATCACGCGGATAGTCAACCACTTGAGCGAACAATAGACGGGAGTGGTGTCCTGCAGACATACGGCGCCGAGGGTGAATCGAGATGGAGAACCGCCCTACGTTACAAAGCTATCGAAAGAGCATGGTCAGGCACCTGCTGACTAGCATCCCTTGTGAAATCTATAAGGATAGGGTATTCTTGTCATGTCCAGGTTACGCAGGTCATGTTTATTTGAAATTAAATTAACTCAATTGTATGTGTGAGTTAGGGGCACATCATTTATTTTATATAAAAAATGTTAAAAGATACAATAAAGAATGTAGTATTGCATTAAAGATTATTAGTTGAAATTATTTTGATTACAAGCATATATTTTTATGTTATTTTTATACTTTTAATAGTAATTTATAATATTATATAAAATGTTAATAAAATATTAAATACATTATAATTAAAAAGACATTATATAACGGAATATAGTTTTATATATATATAAATATTTATTTTAACGGTATGAGAATGAAGGATCTTGAGTTTGAATTCTAATCAGTTTCGTTGTTGTTGAACATTTATAGAAATATTTACAGAAAAATGCTCTCAGTACATATAAGGAACTGATAGGACTAAGAAGTATAGAAATGTAAGATATTTAAGAAACTGATATATATATATATACTAGCTTGATCAAAAAGTTTCTGGAATTCATTCAGAAAATTCAAAATACAAGTTTATTCATCAAAAGTGATATTGTCCTCTTCAAAGTACTCTCCAGCGACTGCAACGTATTTATGCCAGCGCTTGATCCAGCTCTCGAAACATTTCTGGAACTCTTATTATTGGTATAGCCATTAGAGCCGTCTTCGATTTTTCCATTACCTCCTTTCGGCTGTTAAAACGCGTTCCCCGCAGGTTTTTTGACTCGATCGAACAGAAAAAAATCGCAAGGAGCCATATCGGGTGAATTCGATGGTTGTTGGATGATATTCGTTGTTGCAAACTCGTTGTTGCAAATTCAACTCCATTTTTAAAACTGTAAAAAATCGAAAACACGCGCAGAAGTAGATGTACTCAAGACGGCGTAATTTTTACAAATGTCAAGCTATGGCGATAAAATTTGATGGAAATGTCAATGATAGATGTGGCAACCTAGCCAAAAAAAAGAATTCAAATCAGCTGACTCAGAGCATCACCTGGTGATCTCTTCCGGAAACTTTTTGATCAAGCTGGTATTTAGGAAACTGATAACCTTCGGAAATATCTGATTAAAATATCACATACTCATCAATCATAAATTTCCAAAAACTATCTACTAATATTATGTTATCTGATGGCATATTTTTATATTTCTCAGGCTTATCAGTTTTTTAAATATCTTGTATTTCTGTACCTCTTAATCCTATCAGTTCCTTATATGTATTGCCTGACAGCATTTTTCTGTAAGTGTTTCTAAAAATATGTTGATATAACGAAACTGATTAGAATTCAAACTCAAGATCCTTCATTCTCATATCGTTAAAATAAATATTTAGCGCCTCATGACTATTCTTGACTACTCTACTTTGTTATATACTCCGATTTGCCTACAATTCACATAATATAACTTACAATTCACATAACTATCAATTGTAGACCTCGGAGAGCTATATTAATTCCTTAGTATAGCATTAATTTTAACTTTTTTGTAACTTTTCATCAAGCAATCGATAATATAAATATTTGAAAGTTACTAATCTTACTTTTTACACATTATTTTGCAAACTCTAAAATATATTTTGAATTATGTATTAAATAATTTATTGAACATAATTGTTAGCCTTTTTTTAGCTATAAAGTGAATTAAAAAATCAAATGAATACATTGCACGTTTGCTCTTTCGCGGAATATCTCTCGACAAGAACATATTTACGAGAAAATAAGCATGCACATCGTGAAAAGGGCAAACGGTCGTCGTACTCTTCGTGTTACTGTAATTTTTGAGATGCAACGACGAGAGTTCCTTCCTTGAAGCAACTCCACGGGAATGGATTCTTCTTAGAAACCGAGCACGATGTATTTTCACGCCTGTCTAACATGGCTTTTACGTAACTCGATTACAGATTCTTACCAGTCCTCCTCTCGTATATTCGATTAGATAAACATTGTAACTATGATGTACTACTTATAAATTATTTTTATCCTAATTATTACTTCAAATGTTCGATATCATATAAAAGTAATGGGAATTAACTCTACATTGTGTTTATTTTTTTAAATAATATTCTTTGTTTCTCCATATTGTTAGAAATAATGATAAAGAGTAGCTTATTTTACGTGCGCTATTAATTAGAAACATATATAATAAATTATCGCTCAAAAAAAAAATTTGCAGATTATAATTTTCACAAAGATAATATTATCCATCTTTAATACCTGAGAATATAGATTCTATAGTATTTTTTTTAAATGTGAAATGATTAAGGTGCGAAAACATCTTATCATCTTCTATCCCTATTTTTTATAGGTCCATTTGATTAATTTAATATAACTCGAAACTTTTTTGGCACCACTTTTGGCATCATCATCATCAAATTAAACACTTCCTTCGTCGGAACAGCATTCTCTCCGAGGGTGCATCTGTACCCTCGACCTTTCCATCCCCGCGGCATCTTCAAACTCTCTTATATTCTCTTCGCGAGCAGAACATATGCTTTTCTTTTTTTTGATCCAGATGCATCACACGCAACCCCTCAGTGTGAACTCCGATAGATCTCATGCGCGGTATCGCCTGAACGTACGAATGTATCCTACACCTACTACTGCAAGTCAGAACTGTCAGGAGTTTAGCGACTCTGTATATGTGTATTTATACGTAGTGTATACCTGTGTATTGTACCTGACTAGAAGAGCAAAGTAGGGGAACTGAACGTTCTACGAGGTAAAACGGAGGAGGTGCGAGAAGGAGGTTGGTGGGAAGCTGGATGCAGGCGAAGGTGTGCGAGGCGGGGAAGTTAAGAGCTGTCTTCTGCTTTGCGGCGTTTTAGAGAAGCGGCGTAGTGGGGAAAGAGGGCCAAAGAAGCTCGACAGCGGCAAAGGAGAAGGTGCTCGGCTCTGCCGTACCACTGCGCCGATGATGACGACGGTGGTGGTAATGGTGGTGGTGGTAGTAGTAGAAGGTGGAAAGGGAGAGAGAGAGAGAGAGAGGGAGAGAGAGAGAGAGAGAAACGGAGAAGACGAAGCGCAGGAGAGGCAAAGAGAGAGAGTCCTGCTCAGCGTGGACCTGTGCGTCGTTGCATGGCCGACCTGGAGACTCACTCTCCGCAAGGTGAGACGCGCGGACCAAAGAGGAGACCTCAAAGGATCGACAGGAATTCTCGTGAAAGCTGACTCTTCCTCTTTCGTATGCTCACGATTGCGCGCGCTCGTGTACTCCTTTGGTTTACCTCTGTCAATCTTTTCTATCTCGTGTTGACTCTAATTTCTCTCTTCTCTTCGTGTATCAAGATGTGAGTGTATCTATACTTTTTAATGTGCGGGATCTCTTGACTTTCCACAAAGTGCTCCAGATACGGATCCGCCATAGAAGTGAGACCAGATCATTTGTCGATGAAAACACATCTTGGACAAAATTACACGTGCTTGCTCATTTTTAAATTCATTGAAGCTTCGAATGAGGTACCTGTGAAATAAAAGTAAACTTAACTCTTAAACAAACTCGTCATTGGACAACTTCGTGGAAACGACGTCAAGACGTAAAGTGCAGAGTCGACAGAGTTGATAACGTATGCTCACATTAGAGCTTATCGAGCACATGAAACCGATCTCTCGTACAGCCACGATTTCATTTGCACATATCCGTCAAGAGAAGTCTGCTCGCGTTATATTAAGGTGCCTAACAACTGTACTTGTCAATTTCCTCGCGTTACGAAATCGATCGAACTTGCCATCAGTAGGATTTATAAATTAGTGTATATATATGTTTTGGAGCTATCCGCAAAATTACGTCACTCTTCGGAAGGTGAACAGTGTGTGTTTCCTCGTTAAATTCGAATAACGATAAATTCGAATGCTTGGTGCGCGTAAGTGTGTACACGTCGTTAACTCAGAAGACTGGTCTCGAAAGTAAACGTTGGAATTTTCTTTCGGAGTCTCCCGCCAAGACAATCACGTTCGTTTCGTCTTGGATTTATCTCGCAGGCTACATGAATATTAAGCTGAGGTGAGTGAGATACACTTTTTCGCTAAAAATATACGGAATCACGCTGTCAATATCATCTGCCATCTTTGCGCGCCAAATTGCAACAAGCGTGAAGTGTTTACTGCCATAAGGTTTTACTATGGCACTGACCATCGGTTTATATGTGACATCTTTCACATATGTCTGATATGCTTTGACAGTAAATGATAAGACATTTCAATGAGAAAATTTATATTCTTGGCATTTAATGTTAAAAATATAATTATATTCTTTTTCTTTTTTATCAAATTTTCTTATTAAACAAATAGAATATATACGCTTATGTTAGTGAATCGCATTCATCATTTCCCTCTAAATTTAAGAAAGTGCTATAAAAATATTAGTAAAATATTATGGAGTTGCCATTGGCTGATCTTTTTCTCACAAAAAATTCTAGTTGATTTCGAATGTTATTTCAATTTTCCCTGACAAATTTATTCGTTCCGCTAGCAAAGTTTTTTTCTTCATGCAGCTTTAACAATAAGTAAATAAATTTGAACCATTCATATTTCTCTCCAATTATACACAGTTTAATTTTACACAGTTCAATTCTTCTAGATATACAGTCTTTTCTTTGAACAAATAACCTTTTGCAAACTAATCATTTTTAAGTGTCACAAAGGAATAAGTGTTTCTTTTCAATATCCGTTTAAAAAGGTCAGTAAAATGAGAATATTAGAGACTAAAACATGCTCATTTTCACAAAAATTTTCAGATATATTATTTTCTCTTAATGAGTTACAAAAAGATGTTATGTAGTATTATTTTGACTACTTAAAATGACTTATAAAGTATGACATAAGATTTAATATCTATATATATATATATATATCTTATTGAAAAGTTATGCACTTTTTATTATTTTATTAATATTAATTATATATTTATAATTATAAAATATTTTTAATGTCCATTTTATTTGTTTATTTAATGTTGGACAAATATGTATTGTTGTTATATATCATCAAGTAGTTTATATATAAACATAAGTCCGTAAAAAGTAAAGTATTCTTGTATTTCGTATATATTATCTTCCGCAGTCCAAAAATTAGATAATTGCAGTGAATTCTATTTTCATATATTTAATTATTAAATATATAATATCTATAAAGCTATAAAAATTAATTTAAACTATCTGATCTAGTCTGGTATCTATACGATAGTCGATTCTTATATTTAAGATCATCTACAATTAAAATGTCATAAACTAATTACAGAATATTTGTATTTTAAGATTGCTTAAGACAGTCTTGAAATAAAAACCGGTTATGAATACCGATCCTAAATTTGTATTATATATATTTAATAAATAAATTCAATTAAACTTTTGTTAATTTACTCTGTACGTTCGAAATTCTTACACATTACAGTTGAATGAATCTATCACACACATTGTGGGTTATATTGAAATTAATAGTTAATCATTAAATAAATTTACTGATATTTCCCGTGTCGATGATATCTAATAAGATAATCGGCTTCATCCTAAACCTACATTTTAAAAGCAAAAACTCTTAATCAGAAGTTCTTAATAGATGGTTATTGACAAACAAAATTTTTTAATTGCAACTCTAGTAAAACTCTCAAACGTATAACTGTTTGTAGATACACGACTAGGATCTTTCTCTTTCTTTATTTACAAATTTTAGTTAAATAATCAATATAATGTTACATGAAAAAAACTGTTAGTTAAAAAATCTATTAAAACTGCTAAAAATGTTAACCATAAAAATTATAATTTATACATGGCTTTAGAAATGAATATTAATTATTAATTTATTTATTAGATATTTTAAAATACATTATAATATATAAATACAAATAAACTATTGATATATAACTTATAATGCATGGAAAATTCTTTTATTATTTTATATAATCAATAATATTTATTATATAATAAAAAATGGCACCATTTCATATCGTATTTTCATATCGTATTTTTAAATGAAACTTAATTTCTACAAAGATAGAAAATTTATCATTTTTCCGATGATCTCTTCACTCGAGAACGTGATTCTCAATAGATGATTACTTACAATGAGAATTTCTTTTGAGAGCAATTCTAGTCAGACTCTTAAGTATATGTGGCCATTTGTAGATACGCGACTGGGATCTCTCTCTCTCTCTCTCTCTCTCTCTCTCTCTCTCTCTCTTCGCCACTTTTGAAAATGAAAGTTCACGCGGGGCCTGCGAGCACGAGGAGCATACGAGTCTGGAATTTCTTCCTCAGGGCCCTGTGGGACCTCCATGGCCTAACGTTCGCAGGATCGTTAGTATCCACTGGAGAGTTGAACGCTGGGGTAAGAAGCTGCGTTGGCGGCTGACGCCTGTTTGGAAAACATCGACTGCTGAGCATGTGACATCTGCTAGCGCGCACCATTAGGTGTCTTTCAAGTTTCTTGGTTAGTCTGCTTCCCTATCGCGAGAAGCTCTTTTTTTTCCCAATACACTTCCAGCTGATCGATATCAAATGTTACACTCATCTGATTTGGCAATGCATTTTTCATTATCATTTCAATCTTTGGGTAATTACTGAATCAGATATGTGAAAGAGTAGAGCGGGAAAAATTTATAGACAAAAAAAAAGCATAAAGATAAAGCATGAAAATGTTTTAACTATGTCAATCAATATTAATTAAATTTATTAATAGCATTTAACATATATAAAATTGTAACGAATTTATACAATTTTTTTCTTATTTTATCTATACACTTGTAGCTTATTTGTTAAAAATAACATGCATATTATTTGTACATACATTATTTTTAATTGTCCTAAAGTTAGATAAATCGTATAGAAACAATTTGATAATAGAAACAATAATTTTAAAATAATTAAATTTTATCATTTCTCTCAGATATATCTTTGAGCTAAATCAACAAATTTCTAATTTATTGATTAATGACGTTCGATTTTTAGTAATGTAATTAAAGGTGCTCTCGTATTTCTAATAATCTTTCTAATCGAACAAAAATGTGGGAATCTCAGCAATACACGCAACGTTTATTATAACAATGACGTTTCTAGTTCGCCACGTCACAGCGAGAACATATACCACTTTTGGGATGTTGTCTTATAGTTATACGTACATATGTATGTACTCGTTCAGCTCCGCAAGATCCGTTTAACGGTGACCTGTGCGACTCGCTCGAAAAATATTCTAGTTCTTCTAGTGAACCACCTACTTTAAAACAGAGAAAGCATTAATTCTTGAGAAAGACGCCTGACTGTTTTGGAAATAGGAAAAGAATCCCATCGGAATACTATCAATCTCATTAATATATACCCGAAAACTACTACGCATGAAATCATACAATTTCCCTTTAAGAAAAAGTTAGTCGAGATTAACGATAACTTTGATGTCTCCTAAATTAATGCTGAAAAGGCCTGATTGCATCATTGATTATGCACTGAACACAATGTAGTCAATATTTGAATTTCAATATCTTTGAGTCAATATCATTAGGGTTGTTAATACTCTCGAATATATATATGTATGTATACAATTTTATGAATGTTTTAAATCTATTGTTATTTATATGTTGAGGAATTAAAAGCAAATAATAATTACTTCAATATTTGAAATATTGATTTTTAATTATTAAGTATAAGCATATTCAAGCCTACAACGGTCAAAGCTAGATCTTCTTAATGCTTAAATAATTCACAGTAAATTATCTATTTCCTATCGTACATGCATATGCTATATTTTTGTATTGTAGTTATTCAAACTTCTTACATATACTGATTATTGCGAAGAATATTACTAAGGCCTCGATGGTCTAATGATTTAGAACGCTTGTACAGAATACAATAGATTCGGGTTCAAGTTCCGGCTAAGGTAATATTTTTCGCAATATTTATTTAAAATTTTCAGCACATTAACACCCTTATAATATGATACCGGATCGAAGATTGAGAATTTGCTTATCAATTTAATTTAACTTGATATTATTGCAGTAGAATTTAATTGCGTTTGATAAAGTTCGAAAAAATTTCGGCGCAGTTTGAATAACTACAAAAATATGGTATATATGTATGTACGATATATATGTATATACGATATATAAGATATAGATAATTCATTGTGAATTATTTAAGCATTGAGAAGATATCTAGCTTTGACCGTTATAGGCTTGAATATGCTTATACTTAGTATTTAATTTCATGTTGGTCTTAATAAAAATCTTATTACTGATTTTTTTAAATTTCAATGATGTAAATAAGTTGTTATATCTTCTGCATTTTACGTATATTACTTATGCGATCATCTAAACATACGTAACAAAAAAATCTTTTTGACTAACTATAAATTTATTAAAATAAAAGCAAGATAGTGAACAAATGTATTATTATGATTGCTATAATTATTTCAAGAGAAGAGAGTCCTCTGGTGCTCTGTAATTAGAATAATTACGACATTATATTTATCACATTGCTTCGTGTTCTATAACGGCACAAATTCATCGATTGGATGCAGGTGCATAAAACTTATGTAAGATCTTCGCGCCTTCTTGATGTTTTTCTATCGTTTTTTAATTGTCGTCGCAATTGAAAGATAATAACTGTCGGTAACAACAAATGCCATTTGTGAACTTCTCAAACGAAAACAATTCACGCCAGCGATAAATAATTTGCGCAATGTATGACTCTCGACCAACTTCCATCTACCGACTTCGTGCAATTTGTTATTCCGACCGGTTCGAACAAATGTCAACCATAGGTATAAAATATCGTACACGCGCAAACGCTGACCAATCCAGTTTAAATACTGCGACTTATCTCGCAATGACACGTGACACACTGTAATGAGTACCGAAGTATCTCCGGGCGATATAAATCTCATTTTATATGCCGATCAATTTGAGAACTCGGATCGATTCAATAGAGACAAACAGTTATATTATCTTAATACAAACTAACATAATTTTGTTAGTATCCATGATAAGGATTTTAATACAGTAAATACCAACTTAAA